TGAGTACCAAAGCTGAAAGTTGGTTTATAGGTAGATCTAATATACCTGATTAACTCGGATAAATAATTTAAGAAAAGATTTTAACTGTCCACATGACGATCCGTTGTTGAGAAATATAGGCGTTTTTCTCTTTTATAGATCTGGTCCCAATTTTGAATATATGCCATTCAATTTTGATTGATTTGATCACTCCCGGCTTGCATGTGGCTAGAGACAACTACCCATAGATAATATATTTGTAATATGAGGGGTATATACCTACTCATATGGACGCAGGGTGACCTCGAATATCACAAAAAAATTTGCATCGTTAAACAAAGCGGCTACTTTAAGTGCAGATAACTTCAAAAGGGAAGAGATGACAGTTAATCTAAGGTCATATATTGAAATACGGTAAAAAGTAAGTTGGAATACCAAGTTTGACCTTGATAGCTATTACCAATCCCGAGTTATAAGCTTCCAAATTTTAAGTAAATTGCGTTTGCTCATCTTGAAGAACCACGCCCCTTTTTTGAGGAGTCAATATCTCGGAAACTACATATCTTATAAGGCTAATTTTGTTTTTTGTTGGTTTTTCATATAGTGGATGATTTTTATGGAGTTTCATCAAAATCTGAGAGGGTCATACAGGATTTTTTTTTAAATCTGGTTGATTTGACATGGAATGACCCTACAATAGGTCAAAGGTTGGAATGTACCATTTCCGGTCACTATTTGAATATTTTTTCATTAAGAAGAATATGAACATGAATCTCCTGAACAATTTGCAATCAATTGTGAGTCTCTGTGACCAGTAGTTACCGAGATATGATAATACAAGGTCAAAGGTTAAACAAAAATCGCATTTCTCGCCATTTCTGGAGAAAAAGTTGTATTACAACAGATAGGAACATGCATATTGTGAACAGTTTGAGACCAAAATCAAGTCTCTCTGACCAGTGGTTATCGAGATACAAGTGTCCAAATCAACAGGCGGCCATTTTGAAAATCGCCCCCAAATGGGACTTTCCCCCCATATCTGGGAGGTATATAGGAGCTATATTTTATCTAAATTGGTCCATCTTGCCAAATCCATCGAGAAAAAAGGTATCCTAAAATTAGTCACGGATCTCATGAAAATGACTCTACTACCTTGTGCGGACAGGAGATGTCCCCCTCTGGAGCTGGAAACCTTGTTTTTGCAAAATAAATTGATGCAATTTGCTATTATAGGCCTAATCAATAAATTCCTCATCAACCGATATAACCTTAAACATTCTTGGAATTGACATAATATTACTGATGTCCTAGTGGCTCTCTTTGCAAGCACATCTAACATCTAAGGAAAGAAGAGCTTAGATTGGTACCAGATAAAATAATTTTGTTATCAACATTAATACATTATGCTAATTTTCATTTTTGTAAGCGCATAAGACAGTGCAAGTTATTTCTGTGACAGTCTTTTGAAGTGTGTAAAGCTCCATTTTATCCCATACATAGTCAAAATATTGGGGGATGATACAATGGACCATCCACCCTTGTCAAATATTGGGGGGGGGGATATATCCCCATTCCCCCCCCCCCGGATCTACGCCTATGACCGAGGAACTGACTAGCTCACAAGCACCAATTCAAAATATGTTAGTCTCAGAAAACTAGATTTTTTTTTCATTTCCTATAGGCCTACTAATTTTCATCAACCTATATTTGACAAGCATACTGGTAACAAATCTTTTCCGTGTAGGGTGCCACTCATCTGTAATAACCCTCCAGTGCACATTCGATCATCACCTTCTGTGGCTGTCTTTATGTCTAACTTAGACTCACCTCTTTCTTTTATTGAACTTTGCCACTGCCTTCTTTTGATTTGTTTACTTGTTATGTGCTTGGGTTAGGCAATGATCATGACTGCCTGTTGGTGGTGAGGTGCCTTTATGTGGAGTTCAGTGCTTTGTATCTGCAAAGAAGGGCACTTTATAAATGACCTGATTGGATTGGATTAGATTTATCTAAAAACAGTACACCAGGGAAACATTTTCATGACAAAAATATAAAGAAAATAATAATTCATACGGTAAATATAATTGATCCATAATCAAATTGAAATTCAATAAACAAAAAAAAGCGAACGCTTTATGAAAAGATTACAAGAGAACTGATCTGAGACCCACAGGGGAAAGATTCCCATGTATAAGGGGTCAAAATAAATAGGGCCTAAATAGTAAATACCTTAGATTGCACGACAGAGGTGCCCAGGACCCCTCCCTCCACATCCACACCCCCACCCACCCCGTCGTTGGAGAAAAACCATTCGTCTGGAGAGAAATAAAAATGTATAGGCTTTCATATCATAATAAATGAATCTAATCGATTAAATAAGCATTCAAAACTCCTAAATTATCATATTTTCCGGGGCTTCGTCCCCTGGAACACTTTTGAAAGACTCCTGAGAGACGCACTACCACTCCCACGTTTTCGTCGGGGACATCGCCCCCCCCCCACCACCCCTCGTCGGGAAAATCCTGGCGTCCCCTTGGAAGCTAGAATTGGAAATACGGCTTGCAGTAATCATAGCTCCATGCATTAATTGAGAATACAAAGACATAAGGGGTAAAATAAATCCAAATGAATAAATTTTCATCTAAAGAGAGACACCACATCATAATTGTACTCGTGGTTGTCGCATTGTTAAATATTATTATGATTAGGGGTGGACTTTGATTGAGTTCGGGTAGGGGGGAAAAACCTCCGAAACTCGAATTTTGTGCAGAGTTCCTGACAAAACTGACTCTTTTGGTTTTGTTAAATGTAGGCCACCGTAACGATACAGAAAGCTCTAAACACTGAATAATGTAGTATCATAAACACTAGTTTTTATTTAGATACAACATTGGGCCTAGTAAAAACTATCAACTTTCACTAAGATCTGCAGGCCCGTACGCAGGAGGGGGAGGGGGTGCAACGGGTGCGAATGTACCCTTCCCAACCCCCAAATTACCAAAGGTCCACATTTTCAAGGGTAAAAATTCAAGAAAAATTCTCGCACTTTCCAGAAATTCATCCACCAAAACTCCATCAATTTGACCAATCAAAGCTGTTTCCAACTACGACTGCCTACAATTTGTCGTACACCAAGCAAGGACTTTTAACTGTATTTATAAGCTTTTTGAAGATTTTGAGTGTTTTCCCCGCCGCTTACGTCAATGACTCACCGCGTAAAAACTCATCTTCTTTCTAGATTTCACCAGGGAACAGTTAAATTAAAAATTAAAAAAGTTAAAATTAACTGTTCCCTGGTTTCACTAAAATTATCTTTATTTTCGCTTCAGTCTGAGACTGACATTCCCGGTCAGCTAGATGTGTCATAAACATAAATTGTCTTACCTCAGCCCCAACCATGGTAGGGCTGAGATGGTATATTTACCATTTACATTAAATATATCTGTTTAAACCAAAATATTGAAAAATGTTCTAAAACGGCTAGGAAAAGTTTCTCCCATTCATTTATACCCGAAAGCTATAACCTATTCAGTGGCGGATTTAGAGGGGTGAATAGGGTGACTAGCCACCCCTTCCCTCTCACTTTCCTTTACCGTACAAAAAAATAATGGTCACTCGTCTTGTGACGTAATTGTGCTTCACGTGTACTCTGGTAAAACATCACTTTTTATTTTAAGCTAAAACTTCTTTTCAGATGCCATCTAAGATCGTCTAGCAGTCTACTAATTTCAAGCAAATCTCAAATGGGAGGGGACGCCCCTCCCAAGCCCCCCCCCCCATGCTCGGTCTTTCTCACTTCCCATTATCCACCCTCTCCCCACCCCACCCCATTGCTAAATCCAGATCCGCCGTTGCTATTACTATGTACAAATTAAGATTCTTTTGTTTTATGTTCATATTAGAGCAGAGAGTTGTTATGATTAGAGGTAATACAAGCCCGTAGCCAGGATTTTGGTAGGGGGTTTCTTTTTTATACTCAAAGGGCACTTGCTGTCTCTTATACACATC